ATAGGTGCCTGATAATGGAAGATGTAAACTGGGAACAAAAGCTCCAAACCCTGACACACATCCTAACAAGCCCCACGACGTCGCCACCGCTTCACTCTCAGTTCTTCGTCTCTAAACAGATCCCATGCTATCTCAACTGGGACTACCCTCCGGTCCTCTGCACCAAACCCAACTCCGAGACCTTCCCATCTCTCCACCTCCGATGGGGTTTCTCTCTCTTCCTCAAAAGGGTCTCCAGACTCGGGCTCCCTGAGACATCCTGGTGGTGCAAGTGCCCGTACCAGCAGCCTCCACCGTTGATTCTGGCAAAGGGAGTGGAGGAGGCACGGTGGGACGACGATCAAAGGAGAGAGTATGCCCTGAGGCGGTTGAGACGGAAACGCCTAGTCAGTAATGTCCATCCCGCTATTCCTATTTTAGTTCCAAATTTGATAGCCATTTTACTTCTGTTTTTTCATCCAGTTCCCCCACTGGATTGATGCCTGTAAAATTCAGATGGGATTGTGTAGAAATTTGGTTGAAAATGCACTGAAAGATCTCTACCTGAATTCATTTCATTTGAAGTTAACAGGAGTTTCCCCCTCTGCTGAAGGGTGCATTTGGCCTTTTACTTTTAAGTTCTTACGTTATGAAGATTTTAACCCATTAATTGAAAATTTTAGGATCTTAACTTTTAAATCATCGGAATCAATTAATTTTTTTATTAAAGTAAAAAAAATATTTATAAGATTAGCTTTCAAAAATTAAGAATATAATAACTTGGTTTGAAAATTTTTTAAATTAAAAAAAAAATAAATTAAAAATAATTAATATATAATTTTATCACATACATAAAAATAGGATTAAATATTTACAATTAAATAAAATGATTAACTTAATTTTAAAAAAAATCTAATTGAAGTTAGAAATTTTTTTTGATTATATTCTTTTAATTTCTTAAATTTCTTATTTTAATTCAATTAAGAAATTTTTTTAATTTTAATTAATTTTTTTTTCAAATTAAACTAATTGCTTGATTTGATTCTAAATATTTAATAATATATTAATATATGTGGGGAAGTCATTTAGTAATTTTTTTTAATTTACCAATTTGTTTAATTTTTAAAATTTTAAAATTGAATTTTTACATTTTTAAAGCTTGAGAACTAATCCTATTATAATTTATTCTCATTTTAATATGGACTTAACAAATTTTATTAGTTTAGGGTTAAAGTCTTTAAACTCTTAAATTTAAAGGTTAGAACTTTATAGTATAAATTAAGGAGTTTTAAACTTCAAATTTAATAAAGTAAGTAAGACATACTTTAACTTTTTTTCTCATGGTAAAAAAAAAAAAATGTTCTCACATATATATATATATATATTTTTTTTGGTGAAAAGGAAAATTTACTCTTCTACTTTGAGTAATTATTAAAATGAATCTATGTACATTTTGTTGAAATAAATCTCTGCTTACAGCTTCAAATTAAATAAACTTAGTTAAAATTTAATAGATAATGTAATTATAAGTTTCCTTTGATAACATTTTTTATTTTTTTTAGTTTTTAGTTTTTATATTTTTTATTATTTTAAAAATATCTAAAATATTAATTAAAATAAATATTAAATATATTTTATATATTTTTAAGATATTAAATGACTAAAAAACTTACAATTATAACTATAAATCAACACTGTTAAACTAAGTTATAGTCATCATTTTGACTTCTCTCTTTAATGCCTGTCATGCTACAGTTTTGGGCTTATTTTTCTAATTACATAACATTTTTTAAAGATTTTTTTAAATCAAGTTCGAAAGAGTTGACCAATTTTATTGGACTATTTATAAAGAAAATGTTATATCATAAAAAAAAAAAATCTTAAGATTGTCAAATCAATAAAAACTTAATAAATATTAAAAAGGAAAAATAAAATAATATATATAATCACATTATTTATTAAATTTTAATTAATTTATTTTAATCAAAATATAAGCAGTTATTTTCATTCAATTTGGAAGAGTAGAGATTTATTTTTAAAAATAATATATATAATCACATTATTTATTAAATTTTAATTAATTAATTTTAATCAAAATATAAGCAGTTATTTTCATTCAATTTGGAAGAGTAGAGATTTATTTTTAAAAAATACAAGGATTTATTTCAATAATTAGTGAAAGTAGGGGGACAAATATACCCTTTTGCGTTTTCCCTATATTTACCGGTTGCTAGAAACGGGCCGGCTGAACGGGCACCAGCTCACCAGAAGACCCAAGGCATGACTTGTTGCCAGTCCAAATTGTCTGGACTACCAAAAAGTTTTCTCAT